GAAATAGCTACCTTTTTTTGTCTTTGTTCTAGCATTTCTTCATCTGTCGTTAAAATGGACTATGAAAAGACTTCTACAAAACTTTCTAACTAATGATTTAATTATTTTATTTTAAAATGTAAGCTATAGAATAATTAAATGTGCTTCCAGAAAAAAATAAACAAGCTTCTTCATCAACCTACATCAATGGGTTGTTTTTTGGAGGGTGTGGTTCTTCTCCTTGGTTGGGGGATGTTAGCAGATTTCCATAATCTCCCATCAAATCAAAAACAGAGCAACAGGATTAACAGAACTTCTATAAGTGTGTGTCTCTAATGCTTTTGACAAATACATTTTCTGTGTCCAAATAAATTTAAATAGGCTTTGTAAAATACCTGAAGATTTAGTGTTGTTAATATATATTTTATATATATACATATGTTAATGCCTCTTCATGGAGACAACAGCAAGAAACTGTAGTTTTGAGAGCACATACCCTACTGTGTCCTCTAGAACATCTGGCACAATTTTATTTTTCTCATTCAGTCTGGTTAAAGCTCAACTCTAGAATAGTGACCACAGAAAAAATGGATAGCATTTCTCTGTATTAAAAATATTTTCAGACAAGTCTATTGAGTACATAATACATGGAATGGGTCTACGGTGGGAAGACTTTCAAACTTATGACTACAATATTTGATTTATATCATTGAGAAGCCAGGGAATATCATTATCTCCTTCACCCCTTCCTCCCTTCTGCTCCCCTCCCCACCCTGCCCCAGAGCCTCCTAGGCTTCCAGGAGTCAGAGGTAAGATAATTTTTCTCTATCTTCTTAATGAAAATTTAATCCAGTACTTGGTAATTGATAAATGTTTGTTACAAAAGAACAGTTTATGAAGATTTTGTGCAGCATTATTCAGTCAAAATTTGTTTACAGGCTGTAATCTACAAATAAAACTGTATGAGCTTGTTAGTTTAATAAACTTTGTCTAGCGTATGTTGCATATAATATGTCTCAATTAGTTTTGAAAGGTAGATACAGACAGACCAAAGAGAATACAAATTAAGTTACAGATGCCCATCTGACTTTGCAGAGATGGGGAGTATAAAGATGACATCCTTATACTAGTGTATTGAGGAAACTTCAGTTGGGAATTGTGGAGGAAATGCAGACATGGAGCTCTGTGTGATGCTATTGTTAGAATCGCTCCCCAGGCTGAGATTGGCATTTTGGCTTGTGCAAATGGGCCCTCAGAATGCATGCTAGCATTGATGTGCAGACAGAGCGCTAGAACATTGCTTAGGAGAAAGCCTTAGAAGGATTCAGAAAGGGAACGGACCTTTCTGTGGACCAAAGGAGCAGTAAGATGAGTTAATGCTGTGGAAGGGGCATTAGATTTCATCACTGGCGACCCATGCCAGTTCCTGCCAGAGATTTGTAGGTTTCTTGCCAGCTGCTTTGAAGCCTCTCTTGCTGACCACCATCAGAAGTACAATACTGGATTTGGCCAAAAAGACAGAGAGAAAGAAGGTGAGAGACTACTAAACTTAGAGAAGGATTTTCACCTGGGCTGTCAGAGATGCATTTCTTCATCGTGTCTCAACTTATTTATGAAAAGTGGGGAGGCCTCAAAAGTCTTTAGAGCAGTTCTTTGCAGAGCACCCAGTGCCTGTTTATTAGGGACTTTTGTGGGATGTGATACAACTGGGTTCATGTCCTTACATCAAATTAAATGGAGTGGGAGTTTGCAAAAGGCCTTAAGCACTGGACTTGAGGAAGGATGGGTCTCTTTGGCCTGCCCTGACAGAGACAGGCAGCCTAGTGCACGCTGAATGTGATGGCACGGCTGTTGCACTAGTACCTAACTCCAAGCCTGGGTGCGCAAGTGAGGAATTTGCTTTATGAAAATTACAAAACAAATAATTTTACAGTATCTTTAGAGCTTTCAGATTAAATGTAGAGAAATAGTTGATTCCCAGACTTACCTTTTTTCTCTTGTCTGCATTTCTGCATTAAACTGTACTTTCTCATAGAAAAGTTCCCGCAAACTTGGTTCTCCCTGGCCAGGATGTGGTTCCTCAGTGCAGATCCAACATGTTCTGCAGTATCAAATTGGAGCCAGGCAAAGGTGAACGTGTCCTGTCTAGATGAGCATTGCTACCCTTAGAGCTAGTCCTCAGCCCAGGCGGCTGGCCACTTCTCCAAACACAATCCAATAAAACATCTTAGACAGAGTCCCAATAAGCGTATTAACTAATCAGTTGAGTCCTTGCAGAATCAATAATTCTGTGAATTTAAAATGTTGGATGATATGGTGTATATTTTTGTTTTATAGAGGCTGATCTCATTCCTGAACTGAATGAAACTGAAGAATATGAGGTATAGCATTCATTTATTTTTAAGAGAGTATTTCAAATACATACGTTTCAACTAAATTGAATTGATACTCTGTGAAAATTTATGAAACTATGTCACCAACTAAATGTATTATCTGCATTTATATACACATATATATATGTGCATATCCAGCCTTCTCTTTCAGCTATACTTCTCCCTAGAGATACCTCACTATTTAGTTCTCTGGGGCTGGAGGTACATGGAGAAGTAAGGGACATCACAGGTTACACCTAAATATTTTTCAAAATGGGACATCAGCTTACTCTCACTTCTGAGTGAAGTCTGACAAAATTGTTCATTTAGCTGAATCAAAGCTGTCACCCAGTGTTAGGCTTTTTAGTTTGTTTAAAGACAAATCTTACTTGAGCTTGCTTATGATGGTCTTAGCAGGTAGTAATCTACAGTAAGGGAGGAAGGTAGTTGTGCTGAAGAGTGAGATTCATGTGTGTCTGCTATCAGTGTGCTATCGGTTGAATTTAAGAGTTATTCCAAAATTCTTGGAGCATCGTTTAATTCTTTAACTCAAGTTAGACTTACAGTATAACTCTATTTTATAGAACTTTGAGTGGTTTTATATGCAGACTTCATATTTGGTAACTAGGTTTCTGGTGTCCCAGCAAGGAGAGAGGTGAAAATATCACAATGAATTTTTTAACAGCCTCTAAGACAGATTTTACAACGTGGACAGTTCCTTCAGTAAGATCTACATTCATATCAAGTAATCCCTCAGAATTTTTATTTTATAGTTTCAATCTATGACCATAATATTCTCACTGAGTGGCAAATCCTTGTTAGTTAAATAGACAGCCTGTGCTTACCTGTCTATTTACCCTCCCTTGTATTTGTGGACGCCGACTAACCAATAGCACAGTTATTTCTCTGTTGATGTAAGCTACATATCTAGATTATTAGATTGTATCTGTCAGGGCAATAACTGTGTGTCAGTGAATGTCAATCGAGTTTTCCTTGAACCAAGAAAGTTTGAAAGTGCAGGCATTGCCCTTCAGAAAGTGGATTTTCAGAAACAAGGGCCTGTCCAGTCCAGTCCAGGTTTGAGGGCACACAGTTTAGGTGCTGCTGTCCCTACATTTTAGGTATTTAGCCCTTGGAATGAAATCCAAACCTGAGAGTCATGTCTGAGGTCCTTTATATTGTGTGAGTGCACTAGATGTTCCTGGTACAAAAAAGGGACTGGGGTGTGAAGCACAGCTCTAATCTAGTGGTCAAAGCCCTCGCTCTGGTAAGACTTGATAAAAGCTAACAACTCCTATTAGCTGAGTGCCCCAGTTAATAGTTTATTCAGCCGTGCTTCATCTTGAGCACTTCCTTTCAAAGACAGGTTTTTTACATTCTTTTCTTTCCTGTGCCCTGCTTGCTTCAGTGCAGGAGTGGGATAGCTACTCAGCCTATAATATAGTGGAAATTGAGGAATTCTCAGGCTGATAACAGTGTCCCAATCTCCTGTCTTCTGGGTGTTTTCTCTCAACATCGTGTTTTGGAATAAAACAAGTATTGCCACCATATCATCAAGCCAAATCTTCAAAAGAAAAAAGAGTTGTAACTGTATTTTGTGAGAGGCTCTGTCCTGCTGGTGTCCCTCCAGGCTATGTGTGCCTATCAGATCAAGTCCCTTCAGAAACCAAAGGTGTCCCTCAATCTAGTTTGCAGAGTTGTGCTCAGACAGGTTTGGTTCTGGTGCAGTTCTAGATGGGGGCACAGCAGAGAGCTGCAGGCACTGCTGTGTCTAGGTCAAAATGAAAATGTCTGCTGAGCAAGTTGGATGCTTCCACATGGCGTTTTTTTGATTTGAGACACGGAAAGCTGGAGAGGGGATGAAAGGATTTGAACTTAGATCCTCAAGGACTGCCTAAATCCTGATTGTATTTAGGCAAGTAATTTTTCTTTTTCTTTTTGGATCTGTCCTTAAAAGTCAGAACTCTAACACAGATTTTTCACAAAGTATCATTATTCATGTTCAGCAAACAAAGGGTCATAACAGGAACTAGGTGGTTTCACTCACAACACTTTTGAAACTGTTACAATCATGCTGATCATCCTGAAATCTTCTTTTTCAGAAAACTCTGAAGATTCAGCAGATTTAAGGACAGGTCATAAATATATTTTACAAATTCTGTTACTATGACAATTTAATCAACAACAGGATATTAGTGCACATCTCTAAGACATCCTGATAGCAAAACTATTTTTTCTTTGATGTGTACTGCATATACAATTGCATTTTATTAGGAAAAAGGTAGAGCTTTTTAATAAAGTAAATAACTACTATAAGTGGGTTTTTTGTCTTTCAAATAGTAATTTCAAATAGCAGAATTAACACAATATTTAAGAAGTTGTGACACAGGATTTTTTTTTTTTTGTTTGTATTGCAAATAAGTAATATTTTCAAGAGAGAAGAGGATACTTTGCAGATAAATATTTTGCTGTAAGACCAGCAGTCTTCTCAAGTGTTGTCTTGTTTTGCCTCTCTCATTTTTATGGAGCCAGGAAAATATATTATTGCAGTTTTGGTTTTCGTTTTTGTACGGTGTCTATAAACATTTTTAATTGTCTTCGGCTATGATATTTTTTCAAAGGATGAAGTTGATGAAAAGGAAGCAGAGGTGAATGAAGAAACTGCAGTGATTCCTAGCATTGACAGTACAATAAACCAAATGAGGAAGGATTTCCAGGTGACTACATCTAGCTACAGTCAAGAAAAAATGGGGACAAAACCCAATGAAGATAAAACAAATAGATACTTAACAAGAGAAGAAGAATTGCATGGTAAGGAGGATGTTTTCAAAGCAGTTTATTACCCTACTTCTCCACCTGTTAGTGAAATTTCTGAAGAAGAGGAAGATCCTTTTTTGGAATCCCGAACAATTACTGGAATTCCTCCTCAACTCATTGACACAACCAAAGGCATAGAAGAAGAATACATATACCTTTCTTCAGGCACTGAACCAACAAGAATAACCACTGCTGGACATAGTGACGAAGATTTCTTACTGTCTCCTTTTAAACCTCATCAGGAATCTGATGACTTTTGGAGTTCGGTTCTTACCACTTCTTCAGCGCAGCTGGTTACAGAGGAGACCTCCCAAGAAGACACCCGTCCTTCAGGAAGCCCAGATATAAGCATACATGATGTTCTTTCCCAAGGCTCCATTAAGTATGTTTCAGAAGGTGTAGCACCCTCAAGCTCTGATGAGCCTCCAAAGCATACTTCTCCCACTGAAGGAAATTTATGGTTTCGTAACGCTACAGATCTGACAACTCAATCTGTTGATACATCGGATAGCAGGCAATTGTCTCAGACCAGTTACACTGATGCTTATGTAGAGGGATTAAAGCCAGCTACAGTGCCATATTCCAGCAGCCCAGTGGTTTCACAAGACACTTCAGATGCGGATTTAGAATTGCCACATTATTCTACCTTTGCTTTCTCCTCTGCTGAATTATCACCTCACTCTATCTCTTCAAGCTCTGGAGAATATGGTTCTGCTTCTGCTGCCAGTGAGGTACTCTCTCAGACAACTCAACCAGTCTATAATGGTGAGATACCTCTTCAACCTTCCTACAGTAGTGAAGTGTTTCCTCTAGTCACCCCTTTATTGTTTGACTCTCAGATGCTCGACACTACCCCTGCTACATCAGATAGTGATGTGACCTTGCATGCTACACCTGTATTTCCCAGTGTTGATGTGTCATTTGAACCCACCCTGTCTTCCTATGATGATGTACCTTTGCTTACATTTTCCTCTGCTTCCTCCAGTAGTAAAATGTTTCACCGTCTGTATACAGTTTCTCAAATGTTTCCACAAAGTGCTACTCCAGCTGTTGCAAGTGATAAAGTGTCCCTGCATGCTTCTTTGACATTGGCAGAGGGTGATACATTAATACAGCCAAGCCTTGCTCAATATGCTGATGTGGTGTCACATCAGACTACTCATGCTGCTTCAGAGACACTGATATTTGGTCATAATAGAACTCACATATTTTCTCAAGTTGAACCATCCAGCAGTGATTTAAATATGCATGTACTATCTACAATGTCTGAACTTCCTTATGCTTTGTCTAGTAATGTGGGCTCCCTCCAAAGCTTTACTGTTTCCTATGACTCCGCAGAATTTGTGCATGATTCTGTTGACGTATTTCATCAAGATCCTTTATTTAGCAGCTATAACAATGTACTGGTGCATAAACCTTCTTCTGTAATATCACAAGCTGATACTTTGCTGCAGCCTACGCGCTCTCTATCTAGCGATATGGATTGGTCTGAAGCATACTCTGGTAGTGAGTCCCTTTTGCCTGATACAGATACTTTGACGGTACTTAATGTTTCTTCCTCTGATTCTGTAGATGAAATTACATATGAATCATCTGGGTTTAGTGATGTTAATAAGATGCTTCAAAAAGGTGATGTTATATATGGAGATGAGAGAGAACTGCAAATTTCCTCTTCCTTAAGTGAAATGGCTTCCAATGCTGAAAGTAAAGTGATATCTGAACTTTCTACATCTGTTTCTAATAATGATGTAATTAAGCAGAATACGTCTCTGCAAGAAAGCCCACTTCCTGTTTCTAGCACAAAGGGAATCCTTCCAGTCTCTCTTGCTTTTCCCACTACTAAGGTATTTGGTCGTGGTATTAGTAAACTTACAGAAAATCACCTTTCCGTTCAGCCTTTGCATGTTACAACTCCAGTCTTTGATGACACTTTGCTTGAACCTATGCTTAGTGCAAGCTCAGATCAAGCTCTCTCTGCCCCTGCTTATAGCAAAATGTTGTCCTCGACTCAGCCCTACTTTTATGACACCTCAGCTGCATTAAATAATGAAGCATTACTGCAATCCTCCTTCCAATCTTCTGGCGATGGCACTCTGCTTAACACGGCTGCAGTTGTGCGTAGTGATCCAATATTGGCTGAAAGCTCCAGGGTTCATAAAGATAGTTCTACATTTGACCAAATATTGCATCAAATGGCACCAGGTTCTGCTACAACTGAAACCATGCTGCATTCTACATCTGCACCTCCCGTTGCTGATACGCTGTCAAACACTTTTAGTAAGCCCACAGCGTCACTTCAAGGTTTATCTGTTACTTATGCGAGTGAGGAGTATGTTTCATCCAGTTTGGTTAACAGTGAAGATGTTCAGCAGGTTATGCCTTCATTGTACAGTAGTGATGTTTCATTCCAGCTGACCAGTTTAGAAAATACAAATGCTTTTCCCCCCCAAGCAGTGAATGCTGTAACAACTCCCTTCCTATCAGGTGATACATTACCACACGTAGCTACTCCTGCAGACAGCCATATCTCTTCAAGTGTTTTTGCAAGAAGTGAGGCTGCCAGTGTCTCTTCAAGTTCTACACTTGGTTTCGATCCTGTTCATATGCCTGCAGTTGTTTCTGATTCTGACGTGTCCATTCATCACACTCTTCCTTTACCAAATGTACATATTTCTGTTACGGCTGTTCCTCCCAAAAGTGAGATCCCTGTAACCTTGAGTAGGTTGCTCGTTTCTTCTAGAGAATCCTCTGGGTTGTCTCCCAGTATCATGTCCAGTACCGATTTGTGGCCTTCTGTAGTTGAGGATGACTATGATGAATATGACGATGGCTTCCCTGTAAGTAACTGTATCTCATGCACTTCCCATAGAGAAGCTCAGGATATGGTAGTAGAGGAACAAAATACAAAGGTAAACAATAACAAGGATCAGAGTAACCTAATTATAAGCTCACATTCTGAGAAACCTGAAGAAGAAGAGAAAATTTCAACTGCTGCATCAGACAGTCAGATAAACCGTGCCACGGACAGAAGTAATTATACATCTGTACCAACTTTGACAGCGAGTGTGATACCTAAGAAGCACAACGACCCGACAATTTTGGAGAACCACATTCAGACTGCTAGTGTCCCATTGCAAAACACATCAGAGTCTAAGTCTTGGGCTGTTTTTACAAGTGATGAAGAAAGTGGTTCTGGCCAAGGTACCTCAGATAGCCTTAATGATAATGAAACTTCAACAGATTTCAGTTTTCCTGACCTTAATGAGAGAGACACTGAAGGGGCAGTTGAAGCAGGTAACTCAGAATTAACTCCTGGATCATCACAGTCATCAGCCTCATCTGTTGCTAGCGATCACCCATCAGTATTCAACATCTCTGAGGCAGGTTAGTTATGGATAAGTCTAATGAATTCCACGGAAAGCTGTGAGGGGATACTTTTGTGCCATAGAGAATAAGAAGGTTTATCTACATATAATAAAAGGCGAACGTAACAGTGCCACTGGGTGTGATTAAGGAAGCATTGGGGAACAGGGGGTGCATGCTGAGCTGCTTGTGAATGCTACTTCTGGCTACTTAAAACTGCACCTGAAATACTCTTCAGTAGGAAGATTCATGCTCTGCTTTTGGATAGATGCGTACTGTCAAGCAGAAGTTGGGTGGTGCACAATCTAAAACCAGAATTTGTTTCAATGTTTATTGTCTAATTTTAATTTTAAAGGTTTAAGAGGGATGTAAGTTCTCTGTACAAAGACAGATGCTGCCTTTATGGAAATACACCAGAGGACATCATGCCTCTTCCAGAGGAAACATACCTCTGAGATTCTGGGTTTTAACTTGCAGCAGCACATTTGCTCCTTGTGTTTTGTTTTGTGTTTTGTAAGATGTATTGAGCAAGGAAGAAGATGCTTCAGTTTGATTCTGATTCATCTTAACTCATAAAAACGTTCATTTTCATTCTTACTCTGTATGCCACCTTCAGATTTCAGTGAGACGCAGACTTTTTTTGCCAGGTTTGCATATTTCTAAAATATTAGAGCCAGATTTTCCTGTACCTGTTTATATTTAGTGCTATTTTCCTATTTAGCCCTCTTAAAGGCAGCAAGAGTATTTGTGATCTGTGACTCCAAGGATAAGGTTCCAAAGGCAAAACTGAACCTCACATAGATAAATACCTGATAAACATAAAAGTTTTCCTTTGTATTTAAAAATGCATTGCGGAAAACCTGAAGTATTCAGACACATAATTTGCATTGCCTCTTGTTAGAGTATTGAAAATCCAAGAGTAAAGTCAGAAACAATCATGATGTTTGAAAAAACCACACCAAGAAGCAAGGTTAAATCGGTATTTTAGAAATTAAATTGAACTTCCATTAAGTACTCACAACATCTGTAGAGGGCAGTATCATTCAACTAAACCCACTAAGGAATGGAATCCACAAAGCATAGGAAATTTTCATCCCAGTCCTACAAATACACAGTTAAATCACATGAGGTTATATTACTCATGAGCAACAGAATACTAATATGAAAAGGTGCTAAATTGACACTCTGTGTAGCTGGGGCTAGTAGAGTGGGAAAAATAGAAAATAAAAATTAAAAAAAAAAAAAAAACAAAAACAGAAAACATACTGAATCTAGTAGGAGTCCTACCAAGGTAGGTGTTATAAAACTGCATGAATATGTGAATTAGTTCAGTAGGTAAGTAGTTACCACATTGTGTAAAATGCATAACTCTTCTTTAAAAATAAGCAAAAAGAACATCAATATTTCAAAACTTATGTTACTAATGTGAATGAGTGTTACCATAAGAGATTTCTAGTTTACATAATGGGTGCCGTTTGAATTGTTACTGATAGTAACTCAAAAAGTTACTGGATTAGTAGTAGGAGTAGTAGGAGTACAACAGACTTAGAGTTTGTCTTCTAGATATTATTGAAAGACACTATACAGTATCATTTCGTGTACATTATTTTTTCCAATAAATGATGCGAAATATTGTCTTTTAATAAACTGAAAATTCAGTGTGAGCATGTCTAACATGGTGTCCTGTAAATCAAAGACATCTTTGCTTAATTCAATTATAAAGAAATGAAACAAAAAACCCCAAAACTCTCAGATGAGAACTTATTTATACATTTCAGTGAATTCACCGGAAACTGATTAAATGCCTTCTTGTTGTGATCATTACAGAAAAAAATTGTCATTTAAACTTTTCCCAGTCTTTGTAGTTGTTGATGCATATTTATGCTTGTTCTGAACTAAGGCCTTCTCCATAAGACCTCTATGGCTACCTAAACCTTTCAACTTCAGTTGAAAAACTGTAAGAGAAATTAATACAAAGAAATATGCAAAAGATCCAAACACATCTATTATTTGGGAGCAAAGAAATCTACTAGAGATGAGACTACCTTTTCAGCTGCCATCATTGGCGTGATGACCAAATAGGCAAGAAACCTCCTTGTTAGAGGAGAAGCCTGCTCTTCATTGCCCGTAGAAGGAATCCCGATAGGATTTGGTTATGCAGTTTGAAGAAACCCTGTCATCACACAGATAACACTGTGTTTACACTATGAATTAGTCCAGAGTTGGATAAGCAAGTATGAATGCTTCAAAGGGATTGTATTCTGATCTCTCATGCATACACATAGTTTCTTCTGAAATCAATAGGAAATACAGACTTTAGCCTACTCACCAGAAACTCAGGGACAGATTTTTCAGAAGCAACTTCTGCCTGCAATTACTTTGCCCACTGAGCTACAGGATTTAAAGAGTAGTGAGGACATTAGAGTACTTTGAACTAAAACCAAGAAGATGTCTGCAAGATCAGAGCCTAGACCTTTTTGCATATAAAGACCTGAAAGCCCCTAAACTCAAGAAAATGGAACCAAGCAGAGAGCTACCTGGAAATCTGTACTGTGTGAAGCTATCTGGGGTTTTTTTGACATCCTATTTAGAACATGTGATTTGGGGGATTTTTTCAGGTCCAACTTCATTCCCTCCTCCCTTTTATCCAAAAGCTTTTTATTCATGTAGAATTGATCCCTTGAAATCCCAGTGGAGTGCCGCTGATTTCTAGACAGCAAAATTCCGCTCCCATACAGAACATTCATTGAATTAGGACTGTTCACAAAGGCAGAAAACATTCTTAGAAAATTTAGGGGGTTAATTCTAACAAGTGCAAAAGTGCTTATTTCTGTATTTTAACTCACATAATTGTCACAGATCACAGTAAACTGCACACATTGAAAAGAATCAGTCATTCGTGTCACAGTTTTAAAGTGTTTACTTCTTGAGGTATGACCAAAGTAAAAAATGCAAGATTGGTCTCATCCAACATTGCGTTCCCTTATTTAATAAGATTATAAAATGTATTGTTTTAATCATCATACAGATTCCTATAGCAAATTATTTCTGTCATCCAGCATTACAAGGCTGACAGAAATGTGAAATCTAGACAATCTCTAAATAATAATTTGGTCACCTGTAGAGATGGAGGAAGGAGATCTAATTCTGGCTCCAATACAGTTGGGGGAGGAAGTACTGCAATTGGATTCAAAGGAAGTAGGATGTATCTATTAGGCAACTTACAGAATGGGCAATCTATTAAAACACAGAAGTCTTAACTGCCATACGGCCAGCACATAGGGACTATTGTAAGAAAATGTTCCTATTAAACTGTTAGCCAGAGAATTAATTTGCATTATATCAGTGACAGTTAATATCAAAATGTTCTTTACACTTTCCAATATTACATATTCAGATTGCTTAACTCAGTTGGCTTTCAGCTAATAAACAGATGAAAATAAAAAACTTTCTTCTATATTTTAACAACAATCTGCTATTCTTACAAAGAGAAGTCTCCACTGCTGGAAGGCTGAGTCACATAAGCTTGAACACTTTGCTTTACCCTCTATCTGCTTATTTTCTGTAGCTGGTTTGCAAATGTATACACTTTCTGGAGTACATATAGTAAAAACCAGAGGTAAGTGGTATTAAGTAGGCTCATTATAAGACACATTCACTCATACTGTGCATTTCTCAGAATTTAAACATGGATTGTTTCAATTTTCTCTGACTGCAGAGGCAAGTAATAGTAGCCATGAGTCTCGTATCGGTCTAGCTGAGAGTCTGGAATCAGAGAAGAAGACAGTTATACCACTTGTGGTCGTATCAGCCCTGACTTTTATCTGTCTAGTGATTCTTGTGGGTATTCTCATATACTGGAGGTAAGTTGCTTTTTGGTTGGTTTATTTTCTTTTCAGTTCTAAAGAGCTCTGATTTGAAAAATGTGATTGACATTATTGAGCTGTCTTACAGGAGGGAGACTGGAGCTTGTCTCCCACCATGTCTTTGTATTGTTCCCAGTGCTGCAGTGACATTAAGCTGACAAAGTAAGGTGGTTTCTGTTCAAAATGCTCAACTATAATTCTTTTTGGTTGCAGAGGGCTGAACTATTGCAAATAGTTTATTTCCATACTGAGAGATTTTAGTAAACAATTACTTGTGATTATTAATGTCTAGAAGCTAAGTGACTTAATGGAGCACTGGAAAGAATAGGAGGGAAAAGAAAAATAAATAGCATGGCATGGGTTTATTTCCTATTTTTCAAATCCTTTAACAGTTAAAAAAGGTAGGTGTCAATTTAGGATGAGAATCCGTGGTCCCCAGCAGGACTATGTGAATAAACAATTCATATAGGACTGTAGGACTGCAGGACCGTAATGTAGCTGACACTGTATGCAAGACAGAATAGAGATAGTTTAATAATACTATAATAGTATAAATGTTTTAAGATCACTCACTGAGTAACTCTTACAATGTTCTGTGATTTAAAAATTGTTCTACTTTCTGATTCTGCCAAACAAAAATTTGCCCCCCAGCCTTTCAAACCATTCAGCAGGTAGCTGAGGAAGTGTTTCATGTGCACACACATGCTCAGGTTCCCTCATGGGTGTGTTTCTCTGTGACTTGATAAATTGATAAGACAGTAAGAAAAAAAATTTAGGCTAAAGGGAAGTGGTAGCTGTAAGAAGTCATGATGACATATTTAGTGAGGGCAAAAGACTATATACTGTGAAATAAAACAGACCAGGGACTCTTCTACAGCCCCAGCTGGCATGGCACAGATCTCTTCCGTACAGCTGAAGTCTCTTCCGTCACAGGGCAAAAAAACAGAGTGGCTACATTCACATCACCTACTGGGGATGGTCTCTGTCCTGTGCTAACCCAAGCTGTGTCAAGCATTGTGTGAAATAACGCAAGTTGGCCTGAGCTAAAAGCATACCAGAAATCTAGTTAGCCATATGACAGTATGTGGCAGTGCTCAAGCCTTTGTCTGGTGCCGTTTCCTTGGTTCTAGGTAAAGCCAGAGAGTCTTCCTAGGAACAGATCTGCTTAAGCTTTCATAGGGCTTTCAAAATTCATGCACAACCCTAACACTTTCTCGAGCGTGCAGGTTGCCAGGGAGGAAGCACAGCAGTCGAGAAAGGGGAAATAAGTTGAAAAAACTTCCTGCCATGGTGATTCTTGCTGTTTGCCAGGAACATGATCCTATTACTGCCTCTGTAGTGCTAACATGTAAACTAGCCGCAAGAAACAGGATCTTGCTCTTCCAGGAACAGCACGAACAAGCGGTAAGGCAGGTCCAAACACACCGTGGATGCTTCCAGAGCTTGTTTCTTCTCTCTCTCTTTTTTTTTTTTTTTTTTCCCTATACAATCCTGCTTAATCTAAAATTTGAGCAGTGAATTTTCAGGAAGATTTCTTCTTCTTTCCAAAGTAGTACTTAATTGCCTTAAGAATTGCACCTCTTATTTCTCAGTTTATGTCTGCTTGGATAATTATACTCTCCATCACAGGATTTCCAGCTAACCACTTTCATATTGAGAACGTTTTTCTGTCTTTCATGTTACACAACATGAACGTTTGTATTCATCTTCCAGAGGGTTTCATCCCTGAAGATAAATAGTATTTGAAATCTCTTCTATTTGCCAAAGAACACCATCCATTTTAAGACCCAGATTGTACAGTGCAGTTCTAGTAATCCTACATGTTAAAAGCTTGTTTTGTCAAATAACATTGTGTTCATTTTGTATTCTTTCTCTGGGAATGAACAATTCTGTAACATAGGTCTTTCAAAATAAAACAAAAATCCCGTTAGCAGTAATATCTTCTTGAACTTGAATTTAATCTTTTCTGTATTTCCTGTGTATTACAAAATAAAATATGGAGCTCTTTTTTTGTTAATCCTCAAGAAAATTTTCTTGGCATTATGATAACACCAGTAAAGTTTCTTATGTCAGAGGAATGAAACATCAACAGTATGTATGGCAGGTAGGACTTCGTGGCTCTCTGGCTCTCTTTCAAAGGTGCCAAGACCCTCAACTGTTTTTAAAGCCTGGGAAATATCAGAACATTAACTTTATTGCTGTGAAGTTTTCTTGATAAATGGAAAATATTATTATAAAGTCTATAAGCATTTTTATGGTTAGTTTTAGTTGATTTTGAAATAATTGATGTAAGCTGTCAATGTTTCTTTTTTTTTTTTTAATGCTTTTTTTAGGTAAGCCAATTATTCTCACTTATTAAAGTCCATTAAAAGTTTAGGTTTGCAAGAAATTATTCTATATTCCTTTGGCAACAGTACTCAAAAAATTGCAAAGGTATATCCTAGCTGAGTATTTGAGTCAATAGTGCTTTGAGTTGTCTCTGCTATTAGCTCCTAATTTGAATATGCAAAAGGTGTGTTTAATATGCTAAAGGTGTGTTATTTGGTTTAAAAAACAAATAACTTCAAAGAGCGACAAGTTCCAGTTTCTCAAGGTTAAAAAAAGGCAAAATTATTTTGTTCTTCACATGAATGACTTGTATCAGAAAAAATAATTCTGTACCATCTGTTGTTTGGGTTTTGAAGGGGTTTTTTTTACATGAAATTGTTAATCAGCACTTGAGGAAATTCCCCAATCTCTTCACTATCTCATTAGGCACAATTTCAATCTTTCTGTGATAAAATATTCATTTCTCTGACAGAGATGAAAACTTTTAATGGCAATATTGTCTAAAGATTGTCTAATCGCCAGTAGGAAAACGCACAGTTTTGAACTACTCTAGTACTGTGTATCAAATCTTTTGTCATTCAAGCTATTTTCAAGCAATGTCATTTTCCTTTCATTTCTTCAGCATGATTAAGATTACAGTGGAATAAACAAGGAGATTCTTCTGCCTGTTTAATGGCCTTGCCATCCAGACAGATTTTTTTTTTTTTTTACAGCTTTAGAGAGAATCTTCTATCCAAATCTAGAGTCTATCCATCTCTCTCAGTATCTATCTACTTGACTGAGTCCTGCAGCAGAGAGGCAGCAGGGATATTTGAATCTCCTTGCTCAGTTCTTTTCATTTCTGGATGGCTTCATCATTCCCATTTTGCTGAATTAACCTTATCTGTTAAGATGACTGAAATAGAAAGTTACTGTGTGCTGACATATAATACACTGGAAATTGCTTATGCGTGTGTGTACTCTTTTGGAACAGTCCATAGAAGTGATCAATGAAAATAAAGGTGATGAAATGATGTATAGGAAGAAATGTCAGGCTATTTGTGCAAATCAATTTTTATAAAGGTTATCATAAGAAGAGCTTGGAAGATAGTAAAATGGTAACAGTTGTCAGTGGGAGTTGTACCATTCAAGATTCTTTTTCAACAAATGTGTATGAATCTCAGTAAAAGACTAGCTCTAATAATGTGAACAGCAAACTGGTAGTGCAGTTCCAGCTACATTTCTATCTATAGACATACTGAATGTCAGCTGGCTGTCATGAAGCTTCCTAGAAGTCATATGACCAATGCTTCAGAAATTACCAACCCAATGACAGACAGCACCCTGAGTAGTCATTTAAATTTTAACTTTCCTCTGCCACCCTATATCTTTGAAACACAGCTGACAGAATGTTCATTTTCTTGTCCATGATTTGAACTGATGCCTTGGATCCCATGGTAGGTTTATGGGAGTTGAGAACCCTCTGTAAGGATAGTTAAACCTGCACATGCAGAGACACACTAAAACCAGATTCAAACTTACAAAGGCCATGGCTCTTCATCTATGAAGGAAAAACTGCACTATGTTACATCAAATTATATATAAAAGAGTTAATAAAATTTGAAAATTAAAATTTCAGCTGGCAAACACTTAAAAATTAATTGGAACCATTTAAAAATGGAATAATTGGAATCACTGGATCCACTGATCTATTTAAAGATCCTTCGGAACCACTAGATCTTTAAATGATTGGAACCGTTGAAAAAATTTCTAGTAAGTGTTTGAGAATACCTACTGGGAGATACCCTGTGAGCACAAAAGACCCTGAAATTCTCAGAGAAAGAAGTAATCATGCGTCTGAGGCCATTCTGGGTGAGCGCTGGATGTGCAAACCCATCGTGTCACAGATGCCTCCGACTTTGAGGTTCAGCTCCCCTCCCCAGGCCAGGCCAGCAGTGAACACCCTGCACACGCGCACGCTCACGCGCACACACAGAGCCACGCTGTGTTGCCTGCCTCGGTGACAATCCCAGTCAGGCTCTGAGCAGCTCCTGCCCCAGGGGAGAAGTAGGCAGCACGTGTCCTCAGCCAAGGTCCAGGGGCCTACACACCAGGAAAATGAAGTCCTCTGCAGTCTGAGGTGTAGTCTTGTCCCAAGCAGTTCACACTTAAGTATTCATTCAGATCTAGTATCCTTCCCGTTAAACCAAAGAGCTGCTGCTGCCTGCCTTCCTGTACACATACAGACACTCTAATTAATTCAATGGCTTAGCACTATCTCCATATATAAAGTGAGTGTTTGAAGAAGTGCAGTGTCTAAATTACAAATTACAGTTTAAGTTGAAGATCTAAATGCTGTGATGAAAGGTGTAAATTAAATAATCAGGTTAACATTGAGTGATGGGACCTTTGTCTGGAAGTTTGAAATAGTCATCACTTTTTTCAACAAGTGATAATTAACGAGATGTGGTTATTAACATTAGATTTAGTCATGAAGGCTTTCACTGCTGATGCAGAAGCAGATGGAGTGCCTATTTATGAGTCTTATTACAGGTTAAGTCAACTGCTATGAATTTGTCTCCCAAATGTGCTAAGGGTGTAATTTATTTTCAGCCACAATTAACTTGTTAAAGATTAAAGATACAGTGGCTCAGTAAGGAATAGTGAATGTATGGCATATCATGAGGACATTTTAAGTACTGCTTTAGATGTGAAAGCCATTATGCTAATGAAATTCTTTTTAGCTCAATCTTTTCTCAAGCAAAGAGGTGACAAAACTCTGTAATGTTAGTCCATAAACTTTATGTATGATCATTGTTCATAAGCAGTAGGCATTAGGGGGAGGACATTTTTTGGTTTTAAAGCTTTAATCATAGAATCATAGAATAGTTTGGATTGGAAGGGACCTTTAAAGGTCATCTAGTCCGACGATCAGGGACATCTTCAACTAGATCAGGTTGCTCAGAGCACCATCCAGCCTGACCCTGAATGTTTCCAGGGATGGGGCATCTACCACCTCTCTGGCAACTTGAGCCAATCAGGCTGGTTGGTTGGTGCTGTTTTTAATAAACACAGCATTCTCGTTGCCCGGCAGGCAGGGACAGACTTTCCAAAAGTGTTTAGTGATTTGAAGTGCTTTGATACTCACCTACCTCTTACAGACATTTTGCACACGGCCCTGAGACTAACTCTTGAGTATTATGCTAGCATTGAGACAGCCTCTCTCATCTTCGGCAGCTACTCACTCTATGGGGTACTAATGTCAGAGCCCCTTTAAAAGTAGAAAGATGTTCCCAAGCACATCCTCAGTGTGTTCTTGGTCTGCATCTAAAATTGCTATTTCTAAGTAAAACTAAGTATATAATGGATAGACTTACTTCAAACATATCATGCAAAGCCAAAGCTCCTCTATGACCATCACAAATTTGCTTTTAGAGGATTCTAGTTGGACTCCAAATTTAATTGTCATGTGAATCACCAGAACTATTTTGTATGCCACAATTTTGCCTTTGATGTAGCTGTCCACTTTTTCTTGTGTTTTAAGAGAATCTGCATCTTACACAGACAGAAAATTCCCAGCACATTCCAAGACTGCGGGCATGTTTCCCAGAGGCTTAATTCAAATAATCTTACCAAAGCCTTTATGATCTACATTAATGGTTTTGGAAAGAATGCCACTATCTGCATATTCCCTCTCTATTTCTCAAAGTAGCCTCAAAATTTCTTTTTTATTATAACAATTATATGAGAGGTTTTATCCATACAGCGATACAGGAAGAGTACAGAAGAATTTAAACCACCAGTGATTACACAAAATAAGAAATCATACAATAGCTTCAGCCTACAGCTTTGAAGAAGCAGAATCTTGTAAAATTAAAATGAGATTAATATTTTCCTGATGCATATATTTCTTTTTAAATTTAATGATTAGTGAATAATATTTCAAATAGATTAAGTGACCCAGAGTAAAGATTGTTATTAGCATGTCTAATCATATGGAGATTTTTTAATTAAGGAGGCTTTGCAATGCTTACAGCAGCAGTTGGCTGTTTAGTCCCTTGAATAGCTTGGACTCTTAACAGATGCTATTCTTATTATCTTCACATCTGGATTACAGCACAGATACAAATAACATTGTGGGTCATAGTCAAGGTTGATTCCATTTGTATTCATCCCTCAACGTTTTTGCAACAAAGCTAGCATCTCTTGGAGTTATCAATTCCCCTGTCAACTTCGGGACGTCCTCCTTGGTTAAGGTGTCCCTCAGTGCTGCAATTATGTTATGAAAAAAATATTTAGCTACAGTCATAGTAGTTCCAGAGACGCCAATTTGTCTGTTACAGGGCACGTTGCCTTTTATTGCATTTCCATGTCTGCAGTAGGATCTATCGATGAATTACCAAAAGCGATCTCGTACACTGCTCCATCTTCGCATGAAAGGGCACAGTAATTGTGTGTGTGAATTTGGATAAGCAAGGAAGACAATGGCATTTTTTTATACTTGGAGATGTTGTGCAGCATCTACAGTAGCTCCTGATGCAGAGATCCCTTTTCAGCTTTCACTATGTCTGATGTGTGCTCTGTCTTCTGCCTCTGGTATAGGTAAAGATGCATGAACTATGTATTATGCAGAGTTAATGTAGTATCTTCAAGTTGTATGCATAATTTGGTGGTATAATTTGGGGGAATATTTGTATTATAGCAGTTATATTTGACACTCCATGAAAAGTGGTTTTCAAAACTGTGATTTCTTTCTTACTCAATAATGCCAGAATTCCAAAAGGTCTCAGATAATATTTTATTTTCTGCAATATTTATTTATGTTTCTTTTTCTCTAGGAAATGTTTCCAGACTGCTCACTTTTATTTAGAAGACAATACATCACCTCGAGTGATTTCTGCTCCCCCAGCTCCAATCTTCCCAGTCTCAGGTATTTTTTGTCAACTGTTCTGTGGATTGGTGTTAGCTGTTGGAAGATACTGCTTCGTATGTGTCCATATGAATTCTTCACATACTGTAATATCTGTAAATCAGAGATTTCTTCCCTCTTGTACTAATAAACCCAGGTGCACTTGACAGAGGCAGAGACTAGTATTACTAATATTCTGTCCTGTAGGTAACACAGAAGAGAAATATCCTCACTTTACAGAGTTGTCTCAAAGATATGCTATGCCTTCTAGCCGTTTGAGGTATAGCCTCACTAGAAATGGCTTCTAGTGTAGCCATCTGAGCTACACTACATAGCTCTAGTTCACTGTCACGAAGTAGATGATTACACCAGCAACATGTTCTCCTGTATTTCTGCCTTTAATTGAATTTGTCACCTATGTATAGAACACGACCTATTCTTTTTACCAGCAGGGCCAATATATGCCTCATCTGTCTGCATTTCATTTGCAATTACAATATTTTCTTTAACTTATAAATTTTACTAGCATAATTACTACTGGTAAAGTTCTCTGTGAGCCTCTCATAAAAATGGTGCGCAAGTACAGAATGTTATTAGCATCTTCTGGTTCCATATCCATCACAGTTATTTGAAAAAATGTTTCTTTTCTTTCCTCCTGGAAGAGTATTGGAGGAGCATGTGCAGCCCTCCCAGATTTTTCAATATCTGAGTAGAATGAAAAGTACCTTAAATAGATTGATTCTGCATCAGATCCCGAGTCACATTTTCACCCTTGAGAAGAGGATATCTTGTTCCATTACTTCAAAAGTAATAGCAAACTGTGCTATTACACAGGGGGATGTGTTCCCTTGGAACGACTAAGGGAAGCAAAATCAGCCCTTGTGTAGGTAACTAGTAAAGACATTTAATTAAATAAATCCCAAACATTAGACTTCTGTTGTACCTGAATTGTAGGCATCTTTAAATGCCTCTTGTATTGATTGCTATTGTTAGGAGACACATAACCTTTTCCTAAATGATTAATGGGCAGGGATATAGCTTGATTTCAGAAAACATGTGATTATATACGAATGTCAAGTGGCAATCATTATAGGAAATCTCTGCTCTTACTCTCTATCATTAACTATATTGCAGCATAACTATAATTTTCTTGCAATTTTTCCTGACCAGCTCACCTCAGGGAGATAGTGTTTTCCACTGTCATAAGACAGAATTGCACTTACTGTTATTCTGAGGGCTTAAAATATGTGTTTTGATGCTGGAGGGTTTCCTTCTGAAATACTGATTAATATTAACTTAAAGAGAAAACTGTTTTTGAATGACTGAAAGAAACATTAAAAATTTATGGAAAAAGTTGCAAGCACTGAGGAAATACTTTTGTTTTATTTTGTGTGCAACAGACTTCAAGTGAGCAGTTTTTGTGTTTTCTATTGCACAAGTGTTTCAGCAGTGTAATTTCACAACAATTGAGACTAACTGCGATATAATACTGGCAAAGAGTGTAGAGCAGGAAGAGGATTTTGTAACTGCTAAGTTTAATTTTTTATTATGACTATGACTAAAAGCACACTCCACAGATCTCATTGTACATTAAGTTTTCCTTTTCTGGGGTTTCATTGGCAGAGATAGGAGAATTGCAGTTATTCACAGGAAATGCCCTGGCACTTCACAGCATAATTCAAAGATGCATTCAGAACAAATAATGAATTACAGGGTAATATTAGGACCCACTATTAACCTTTAAGTAGTTTCAAGTGATACCTGCCATCCAGATATAAAATATATTCCTGGAGTCAGAAGTGATTGAATTGGGAGATTAGCACTGGCAAGGAAATAAAACAAGTAATTACACCAAACCTGAGATCTCTTTCTCCCTTAACTGTCCTTGCTCTTAGGGTCATTTACCTTCCCTTCTGGTTTTGTGTTTGCATATCATTAGAATAAACACTTTATGCCAGGTTTCATCCCCAAAGTGTGAAGATAGTGTTACACATTTGTTCAGCTTCTCTTAGGCTTGACTGGATAAATTCACTTTTTGTATTCAGATCCATTCATGTAGGTGGAAGACCAGATGGATCTCAATACAAATCAACAAATTCTTGGTAACTGAAAGCTAAAATTATTAGGTAGCCTAAATGCTGAACATCTGTTGATGTAAATTACAGGTCCTTGTTCAATGTTTTTGATGTTTCTTTCTCATATGAAACAGTGATGAAATTACAAATTGTGAAATAAACATATTTTTAATACATGAAAGGCTTTAAAAAACAACAAAAACAAAATTACTCCTCAGAACCAAAACTAGCTGATATAATGTCATCCTTTAACAGGTAATTAACAGAACAGATGACTTTGTTTACATAGCATATTTGCAGGAAAGAGAAGATTAAAAGTCCCAAAGGTTTTTGACATGATCCCTAATGAATGTTCTACACAAGAGTGTTTTTCTGTATTTGTATAAAGTAAAAAGGAGATATCCTGAAATATAAACATCAGATGGAAAATTCACACTCAGTATCAGGACCCAGAAGTTGCATGAATCACATTTATTGGTTGAGAATGTAGATATTGTCTTTGTGTGTATCCAGAAAGTCTCAAATCTTTCACTTTTAAACTTGAAGTATAAAGCCTGATGTGAAAATTTGCAGTCAATACTCCCAGGATCTGATATAAGATTATTATCAATAGGTAATCATAGAATCATGGGGAGAATGGCGGGGGCGGGGGGGGATCCCTGCTGGAAGTACTCATTCATTCAGTAAAAGATGAAAATTAGTTGTTGTTTCCTTTGGATGCCAATGCAAACATGCAACAATGTGAGTTAAAATTATACTACTGGCATAATGGTGCATCGATGTAGTTGGCTTGGTACGATGTGGCTAGTCCGTGTACTGTATCAGAGTCCCAGCGCAACACTAACCAGCCTAAGGCACACAGACCTCTCTTCTTTACCAGTATATTCAGAGCTCTGCTCCTGCCCTCTCCCACTGAACATCATGTAGCTAATCCTCCCATTTCCCCTTGACTTTACAGGCAGTTCTGAGTGCTCTTCAATTTACAGACAATGTCAGCATCTTGCAGAGTCAGCACCTTGATTTTGGGGACTTAAAGACAGAGCAAGACCTAGCAAGGCATTTTCTATACCTTCTTTCTGAAGAGTCATTTAGAAATGTATAAGTGTTAGAGAATGATTTTAGAAATGTTAATGATGTCAAAGAGTGTTTTTATTTTTCTGGGAGTTGTATATCCAAAGTTCATGCCAAAAATTTTATTTCAGGATGTTGTGTGGATTGCCTACATATAAACTTCTTTATATGTCACTGGCTTTTTATTCTTCATAAATATATTTTTTGTCTTTTCCCACCCCTAAGATGATGTTGGAGCAATTCCAATAAAGCATTTTCCAAAACATGTTGCAGATTTACATGCAAGTAATGGTTTTTCTGAAGAATTTGAGGTATGGCTCTATGATGTCATCTTTCTTCTTAGCACATACAAATAATGTTAAGATTAAATGCCTGGAAACAAAGAACCAGGTATTACATTCTGGCTTGGCAACCAATTTCATAAATGCATGTAAATATGAGTCCTGTGAGCCTAGTAAGGACAGTTTATGCATAAAGACTAGAGGGATTTATAAAAGCTAACATGCCTGGGATGCAAATGACAATGTTTGTCACTGTGATAAAATACTAAATGATTGTGTGAATAAACTATGCAAAGATAATGCAATCTATATGGTTTATCAGATACAGTTGTAGATCTAAAGCTTTTCCAACACTAATGCAAATTGAATTTTGCAGAAGCTACCCACATTTGCTTGTTCCATTTACAGAGAAAAAATATGGAAGTAATAATGAGTACACGTGGCAAGACTTCTGATTAACAGGGGAGCTAATGTAGTCTTCATATGTGGTAGTGAAAGCTTTACAGTTCCTTTCCTAAAATATATGGTTCATATGAGGTATTTCAAAACTTGGACACATATGCTCTCATCATACAATGTTATTGTCATCATATGTAACTAATAAACTTCATTGTTTTTCACATTCATATGCATTACAAGCGATTTAAAGATAGATCTGTTCTAACTTAAGTCACATAAAATAAATAAACATTATAAACCCAAACTCTGTAATTAAAGCTGTGCTATTAAAATTCTTGGCAAGTGATTACTAACACAGTCAGTCAGTTGGGATGGAAGCAAGTTTTTTAATTGATCTCTACTAATTTAAAA